AGTTCTAGTTCAATTCTAGTTCAGTTCTAGTTCAGTTCTAGTTCAGTTCCAGTTCAGTTCTAGTTCAGTTCTAGTTCAGTTCTAGTTCAGTTCTAGTTCAGTTCTAGTTCAGTTCTAGTTCAGTTCTAGTTCAGATCTAGTTCAGTTCTAGTTCGGTTCTAGTTCAGTTCTAGTTCAGTTCTAGTTCAGTTCTAGTTCAGTTCTAGTTCAGTTCTAGTTCAGTTCAAGTTCAGTTCTAGTTCAGTTCTAGTTCAGTTCTAGTTCAGTTCTAGTTCAGTTCTAGTTCAGTTCTAGTTCAGTTCTAGTTCAGTTCTAGTTCAGTTCTAGTTCAGTTCTAGTTCAGTTCTAGTTCAGTTCTAGTTCAGTTCTAGTTCAGTTCTACTTCAGTTCTAGTTCAGTTCTAGTTCAGTTCTAGTTCAGTTCTAGTGCAGTTCTAGTTCAGTCCTAGTCAATCGACTAATTAAAACATTAGACTAGAGACTATTCCAGGGATTAGCCAATGGGCTAGTCCAATGATTCGTTCATATTTTAAACAATAGGCTAGTCCATAGATTAACACAAAGTTTAAAGACTACTTAATTCATAGACTACTTCATAGATTATTTAATAGATCAAACAATAGATTGGTCCTTATACTTCTCTAACAAAATTTTAATAGATTAACCTATTAACTGCTTCTCAGACTACTTTATAAACTGGTCAATAAACTAGTCAATAGATTAATAATAATATAATGCTTCATATAATGGTCCATCAGATTAGTCAAGGGATTACGCCTAAACTAGTAAGTAGATTAATCAATATACTAATCTATTAACAGGTCTGTAGATTAATTAATAGACCACTCAATAGAGTAGTCCATGGAATAAACATGGAATACTAATACATTGCATAGTAAATAGTCTATTTATTCATTAGTTATTCAATCTAATAGTCATCGACCATTCTATTTAATAGTATATTGGCTACTTTACTGACTTAGAAGTCAATAAGCAAGTCCATTAGCTATCTAATAGACTATTCTATAGACTCATCTACTGCCTAGTTAATAGACTAGTCCATAGATTATGCAATGGACTAGTCTATATACTAATCCATAGCTTACTCAGCAGACAATTGCCTAGTAAATAAACTAGTAGATAGTAAATGAAAAAGTTAAAGAATAAATTTTGCCAGCCTTTTGCAAATTAAAATCGAAGTTATATTTTATTTAAAACTAGTTAAAAATACTTTAATTCCACTTGTTGTTATCCGTTATTTTAATATAGTAATAATATTTTTATGCAAATTCTTTATCACAAATGCTTTTTCAATTTCATTACTCTTGAACTTGTATTATTTTTTCATTAAAACATTCCATTACAAAATTGCTGACATTATGTCTATTCATTCTTTACCTTTTATATTTTATTTATGACTAAAAATAAATAGTTTTTTTAACTATTTTTACTTTTTTGATTCAAATTAATAATTTGATATTATTCAGTTTTTTTAAGTTATTACTTAGCATTTATTACAGAGCCAGAATTCTGCTGCCAGTCAGTAGTCATTCAGTTATTTTTATATTTTTATTATTATTATTATTTGTCTTGGTATTATTTGTTTGTTTTTTAGTTTATTTGCATTTTGGCCAGCCCTGCCAGTCTTTGCCAGCAACATGGCCATTTATGACATCGGCTACTTCCGTTTGGTATTGGCTTTAGAGTTTGGTTTCATTTCATACGTTTTCGGTTTAGTTTAGTCATTGTGTACTGAAATAATTTGCATGTCTAGTGTTTGTTTATGTCTCTAACAGTAATGGGTTTTTTTCCTCTAGTTCTCTATTTACTTTTACCTTCACCCACTACCTCCAACCAAGAACATTAGGTATTCTATCTAGTCTAGCTTGTCTTCATCTATTTTTAGGAGTAACTGTGTCGCTTTGTATGCTTAGTTTGTTCATATTGTGACAGATAAATTTACATAATTTACTTTGACATTCATCATCATGGTTTGTTCCCATTCCCGTTACCTCCGTCACCGTCATCATCATTATCTAATGCTACTTTTAAAAAGTCCTTTGACATTTCTAAATTTCTTTTGTGAATTTTACAATAGTTTTGTGTTGAGAATAGCAAGATTTAATGAAATCCAATATGGCTGCAGAAATACTTGTGTATATATTTGTATTAATAGAACATTTTAAGTGCTGCAATATGAGTTTTTGTTGCAATTCCTGGGTCACTTCAAGTCTCATAATATCATAATAAAATGCAAAATGTGGCAAATATGGAAAAAAATAAAAATTAAATTACTTGGAAAATTTAAGCTTAAAATAATACTATAGACGTTTTCTCCAGATTATAATGGTTTAATAAGAATTCATGAAAATATATTAATACATTGCCGATCAGTTGTATTATAAAAGATTATAGAATTTTAAACTGAATTTATGAAGAAGAGTTCAAGTTCCAGTTCATTTGTAATCTCTGTTTTAGTTAAGTTCTAGTTCCGTTCTAGTTCAGTTCTAGTTCAGTTTTAGTTCAGTTCTAGTTCAGTTCTAGTTCAGTTCTAGTTCAGTTCTAGTTCAGTTCTAGTTCAGTTCTAGTTCAGTTCTAGTTCAGTTCTAGTTCAGTTCTAGTAGTTCAGTTCTAGTTCAGTTCTAGTTCAGTTCTAGTTCAGTTCTAGTTCAGTTCTAGTTCAGTTCTAGTTCAGTTCTAGTTCAGTTCTAGTTCAGTTCTAGTTCAGTTCTAGTTCAGTTCTAGTTCAGTTCTAGTTCAGTTCTAGTTCAGTTCTAGTTCAGTTCTAGTTCAGTTCTAGTTCAGTTCTAGTTCAGTTCTAGTTCAGTTCTAGTTCAGTTCTAGTTCAGTTCTAGTTCAGTTCTAGTTCAGTTCTAGTTCAGTTCTAGTTCAGTTCTAGTTCAGTTCTAGTTCAGTTCTAGTTCAGTTCTAGTTCAGTTCTAGTTCAGTTCTAGTTCAGTTCTAGTTCAGTTCTAGTTCAGTTCTAGTTCAGTTCTAGTTCAGTTCTAGTTCAGTTCTAGTTCAAGTTCTAGTTCAGTTCTAGTTCAGTTCTAGTTCAGTTCTAGTTCAGTTCTAGTTCAGTTCTAGTTCAGTTCTAGTTCAGTTCTAGTTCAGTTCTAGTTCAGTTCTAGTTCAGTTCTAGTTCAGTTCTAGTTCAGTTCTAGTTCAGTTCTAGTTCAGTTCTAGTTCAGTTCTAGTTCAGTTCTAGTTCAGTTCTAGTTCAGTTCTAGTTCAGTTCTAGTTCAGTTCTAGTTCAGTTCTAGTTCAGTTCTAGTTCAGTTCTAGTTCAGTTCTAGTTCAGTTCTAGTTCAGTTCTAGTTCAGTTCTAGTTCAGTTCTAGTTCAGTTCTAGTTCAGTTCTAGTTCAGTTCTAGTTCAGTTCTAGTTCAGTTCTAGTTCAGTTCTAGTTCAGTTCTAGTTCAGTTCTAGTTCAATTCTAGTTCAGTTTAGTTCAGTTCTAGTTCAGTTCTAGTTCAGTTCTAGTTCAGTTCTAGTTCAGTTCTAGTTCAGTTCAGTTCTAGTTCAGTTCTAGTTCAGTTCAGTTCTAGTTCAGTTCTAGTTCAGTTCTAGTTCAGTTCTAGTTCAGTTCTAGTTCGGTTCTAGTTCAGTTCTAGTTCAGTTCTAGTTCAGTTCTAGTTCAGTTCTAGTTCAGTTCTAGTTCAGTTCTAGTTCAGTTCTAGTTCAGTTCTAGTTCAGTTCTAGTTCAGTTCTAGTTCAGTTCTAGTTCAGTTTCTAGTTCAGTTCTAGTTCAGTTCTAGTTCAGTTCTAGTTCAGTTCTAGTTCAGTTCTAGTTCAGTTCTAGTTCAGTTCTAGTTCAGTTCTAGTTCAGTTCTAGTTCAGTTCTAGTTCAGTTCTAGTTCAGTTCTAGTTCAGTTCTAGTTCAGTTCTAGTTCAGTTCTAGTTCAGTTCTAGTTCAGTTCTAGTTCAGTTCTAGTTCAGTTCTAGTTCAGTTCTAGTTCAGTTCTAGTTCAGTTCTAGTTCAGTTCTAGTTCAGTTCTAGTTCAGTTTAGTTCAGTTCTAGTTCAGTTCTAGTTCAGTTCTAGTTCAGTTCTAGTTCAGTTCTAGTTCAGTTCTAGTTCAGTTCTAGTTCAGTTCTAGTTCAGTTCTAGTTTCTTCTTGTTCAGTTCTAGTTCAGTTCTAGTTCAGTTCTAGTTCAGTTCTACTTCAGTTCTACTTCAGTTCTAGTTCAGTTCTAGTTCAGTTCTAGTTCAGTTCTAGTTCAGTTCTAGTTCAGTTCTAGTTCAGTTCTAGTTCAGTTCTAGTTCAGTTCTAGTTCAGTTCTAGTTCAGTTCTAGTTCAGTTCTAGTTCAGTTCTAGTTCAGTTCTAGTTCAGTTCTAGTTCAGTTCTAGTTCAGTTCTAGTCTCAGTTCTAGTTCAGTTCTAGTTCAGTTCTAGTTCAGTTCTAGTTCAGTTCTAGTTCAGTTCTAGTTCAGTTCTGAGTTCAGTTCTAGTTCAGTTCTAGTTCAGTTCTAGTTCAGTTCTAGTTCAGTTCTAGTTCAGTTCTAGTTCAGTTCTAGTTCAGTTCTAGTTTCAGTTCTAGTTCAGTTCTAGTTCAGTTCTAGTTCAGTTCTAGTTCAGTTCTAGTTCAGTTCTAGTTCAGTTCTAGTTCAGTTCTAGTTCAGTTCTAGTTCAGTTCTAGTTCAGTTCTAGTTCAGTTCTAGTTCAGTTCTAGTTCAGTTCTAGTTCAGTTCTAGTTCAGTTCTAGTTCAGTTCTAGTTCAGTTCTAGTTCAGTTCTAGTTCAGTTCTAGTTCAGTTCTAGTTCAGTTCTAGTTCAGTTCTAGTTCAGTTCTAGTTCAGTTCTAGTTCAGTTCTAGTTCAGTTCTAGTTCAGTTCTAGTTCAGTTCTAGTTCAGTTCTAGTTCAGTTCTAGTTCAGTTCTAGTTCAGTTCTAGTTCAGTTCTACTTCAGTTCGAAGCAGTTCATAGACTAGTTGATGGACTTGTCAAAAGACCAGTCCAAAGACTAGCCAGTCAATAGACTAGAGCATTACATTGTTAAATTTGGAAAATGTGTTAAGCCCTTTATTTCATTAGTTTACCATATAAATATATATAATTTAGTGATGATTTTATTATAAAACAAAGGGATGATATATACGAAATTCTGAGACATTTTCGGGCGGATAATGATATGTGTCTTGACCTAAAATCAATAATAAAATAACTAAGCAGATGGCACAACAACATTTCCAATAGTTTACCTAAGAATGGATCAAGTCCAGCTGATGTTTCTTCAATACGAAATGTGGACTTTGAGATAACATCCAAAACTTGTATGTCTTTACCATCGCACAAATGAGCAAACATGCTGGACATACCCAACTAGCAAGAAAACACTTCAGTACAGAATCTAAAAAACCTTAAAATTTTATTACTTACTATTTTTAATTCTTCTTTTAGGGATATCTCCACTAAAGTATGTAGTTTCGGTACTACTACAGTTATCCATTGATGGGTCAAATATGAATCAATTCTATTGAGAGGAAAAAGTTTTAAATCTTGTTCTAATTCTATTACGCCTCCCTGGGTGTTAGGTAATATAATCACTAAGGATGTATCACCATCACTGTAGGGAATTTCAACAGCTGTAGCCTTTAATTCCGGAATTTCTCCGTATTTTAAATTTGCCAAAAGAGTTAACACTTCTACACCAATTTCTTCACCATCAATGGTATAAAAGGCTCCTTTTGCCGTAAAGTTGAAATTATATAAAAATAAACTCTTAAAATGGATCTCAGTAGACAAAAGTAAATGTGTTTTAGAACCGGTTGTCTCTATATCACACATATCAATACTAGGCCAGCCATCAATAGTATCGCCGGCACTCAAATCAATACTTTCGATAACATTTTGCCGGTCCAATACGAAAATATGATTAGACATTGTGAAGAGGTGACTGAGTTCCAATTGCCTCAGTTGTCCCAAATAAGCTGTTGTAATAGCCTCGATAGACTGAGCATCCAAACCTAAATTTTCAGTGATTTCTGAGGCTGAATCTTTTTCAGCATTCTTGCGCAGTAGAATCAAAAGTGTTGCTAAAGGAAATGGCGCCACTAACTGATCTTCTTTTGGATGCGAGTCGCATACTTTGTGAAATAATTGTTCTCCGAAGTTTTGTAACTCGGAAAGAATTTCTGCCCCAGATGGCAGGGGTAAAGCGAGAAGGAAATTTAAAATTAAAAATCGCATATGATGATATTCTGAAAATAATTAGATAAATTTTGAAATTACATAGAAATCATTACTTTTATACCTTTCTTAGTTAATAATTTTGTCATGTTAAAAAATTTAACGACATCATTCGGCTAATGGATCTTAGGTACTGAGTTGCTAATAACAATTTGCTAAATTTTGTTATACTAAGTTATATTTTAAATTTAATATAGCATATCAGGAATGTGACTAAATAAATTAGCTTTCTTTTATATGAAAAAATAGCATATAACGTCTAACGAACAATTTTCTTAAAAAAATCTTACTGAAGAGCAAATAAAAAACAAAATCGAAAATATAATCTGATATGACCCTAGTCCAGCTATACATTTTTTTGATAGCAGTAGTTTCCGGCTAAAATCTAATTGAAATTTATTATCGATTCCGTCAACATACCTGATAATAATCATGTTTATAGTCAATATAAGTCTATAGTCAAGAGTCAAGATAAGTCTATAGTCAAGACTATAGATCAGTCTATAGTCAAGACTATAGATCAGTCTATAGTCAAGACTATAGATCATTCTATAGTCAAGACTATAGATCAGTCCATAGTCAGGACTATAGATCAGTCTATAGTCAGGACTATAGATCAGTCCATAGCCACGAATATAGATCAGTCTATAGTCAAGACTATAGATCAGTCTATAGTCAAAACTACAGATCAGTCTATAGTCAAGACTATAGATCAGTCTATAGTCAAGACTATAAATCAGTCTATAGTCAAGACTATAGATCAGCCTATAGTCAAGACTATAGATCAGTCTATAGTCAAGAATATAGATCAGTCTATAGCCAAGACTATTGATCAGTCTATAGTCAAGACTCTTGATCAGTCTATAGTCAAGACTATAGATCAGTCTATAGTCAAGACTATAGATCAGTCTATAGTCAAGACTATAGATCAGTCTATAGTCAAGACTATAGAACAGTCTATAGTCAAGAATATAGATCAGTCTATAGTCAAGACTATAGATCAGTTTATAGCCAAGACTATTGATCAGTCTATAGTCAAGACTATAGATCAGTCTATAGTCAAGACTATAGATCAGTCTATAGTCAAGAATATAGATCAGTCTATAGTCAAGACTATAGATCAGTTTATAGCCAAGACTATTGATCAGTCTATAGTCAAGACTATAGATCAGTCTATAGTCAAGACTATAGATCAGTCTATAGTCAAGACTATAGATCAGTCTATAGTCAAGACTATAGATCAGTCTATAGTCAAGACTATAGATCAGTCTATAGTCAAGACTATAGATCAGTCTATAGTCAAGACTATAGATCAGTCTATAGTCAAGACTATAGATCAGTCTATAGTCAAGTCTATAGATCAGTCTATAGTCAAGACTATAGATCAGTCTATAGTCAAGACTATAGATCATTCTATAGTCAAGACTATAGATCTGTCTATAGTCAAGACTATTGATCTGTCTATAGTCAAGACTATTGATCAGTCTATAGTCAAGACTATTGATCAGTCTATAGTCAAGACTACAGATCAGTCTATAGTCAAGACTGTAGATCAGTCTATAGTCAAGACTATAGATCAGTCTATAGTGGAGACTATAGATCAGTCTATAGTCAAGTCTATAGATCAGTCTATAGAAAAGACTATAGATCAGTCTATAGTCAAGACTATTGATCAGTCTATAGTCAAGACTATTGATCTGTCTATAGTCAAGACTATTGATCAGTCTATAGTCAAGACTATTGATCAGTCTATAGTCAAGACTATAGATCAGTCTATAGTGGAGACTATAGATCAGTCTATAGTCAAGTCTATAGATCAGTCTATAGAAAAGACTATAGATCAGTCTATAGTCAAGACTATAGATCATTCTATAGTCAAGACTATAGATCATTCTATAGTCAAGACTATAGATCTGTCTATAAGTAAGACTACAGATCAGTCTATAGTCAAGACTATAGATCAGTCTATAGTCAAGACTATAGATCAGTCTATAGTCAATACTATAGATCAGTCTAAAGTCAAGACTATAGATCTGTCTATAGTCAAGACTATAGATCAGTCTATAGTCAAGACTATAGATCATTCTATAGTCAAGACTATAGATCTGTCTATAGTCAAGACTATTGATCTGTCTATAGTCAAGACTATTGATCTGTCTATAGTCAAGACTATTGATCAGTCTATAGTCAAGACTATTGATCAGTCTATAGTCAAGACTACAGATCAGTCTATAGTCAAGACTGTAGATCAGTCTATAGTCAAGACTATAGATCAGTCTATAGTAAAGACTATAGATCAGTATATAGTCAAGACTATAGATCAGTCTATAGTGGAGACTATTAATCAGTCTTTAAATCTATCAATAGTCTATAGAATTTTCTGAAGAATATAGTCAAGATTATTATGAACATATGTATATTCTTAACCGTAAAGACCATAGATCATCTCCACTAGATCTTTCTATAAAATGAAAAAAATTTAATATTAAACATTAAAGAAATTATCAAAATGTGAAAATGAATAAATGTTCATATTTTTACTGCATTATTTCACAATTTTTCCCATAAAATATATATCATCTTCATCTGATTTTATATAAAAAATAAATGGATGATCTACTACTATTAATGGGATTTCTGAAAGATATTCCTCGTCATCAGCTTAAAAAAAAGAAAAATAAAATTATAAGTCAAAATACCAAAGGAAACATATTTTGAACATAATAAGTAAATATCATTATAATAAAGATCTTACGGATGTAAGTGTCTTCTCCCTTAGTTCGGTTATCGATTTCAAATGATGCCCTATAATCGAATTCCGTAAGCTTTATATCAGCCATAGAATCGCACAGGTTTGTATAAATACCAGTCATGCCCATCTATTATGTAGGAAATCACACAGTTAAAAAGTTAAAATAAAGAAATTAACTTACAATTTCAAAAATACTATACAGTGGTAATCGCACTTCAACTTTTATGATTGGCATTATAAGATTGAGCGTATCGTTGCTTAAATATTGATTTATATTACTGAGGGGATATTTTTCCAAATTATCTTGCAGTTGTATTATACCCTTACGATCGTTGGGAATTAAAAGCACCAAATAAGTATGACCATCACTGTAAGGCACTTCAACGGCTGTAGCACTTAAATGATATATCTCCCCATAACGTACTTGAGCTCTATGATGTAACATTGTCTTAGCAATCTTATCGCCATGCAGAGGATAGAAAATTCCCTCGTCAGTTTGAGAAATATTATACAATAGTTGATTCTTAAAGTGGGCGTTTGAGTCTATTATAATATCTACTTTAGGTGAATCCGAAATTGGAGTTCCTGATGGAGTCTGAATATTTGTCAATTCTTCTGAATGAAAACATACATAAAAACCTGACCAGGAATTAATAGTTTCATCCACAGTCATTATGATATTTTCAGAAATCTGTTCATGATACATAAAGCTTATATTATTTGACATTTCAAAGAGCTGTGTCTGATTAATTTTTCTGTATAAATCCAAATAATCTTCACGCAATTTATTGGCAGGTTTACCAGCCAAATCTAAATGATCTGTGATTTCGAAAGCACCTTTCCGTTCAGCATCATTGCGTAATAATATTAATATTGAGGCTAATGGAAGTGGGGATATAATATGATTTTCCTCAGCTTCGTAATTGGATAATGTAAAAAATAATTCCCGGCCAAAATTTTCTAGTCCTTTCAATTTTCCTCCTGACGATATGGACAAAATCAGAAGTAAATTTAAAACTAGAAATTGTAAATAACCTAGAGAAGAAAAATTAATCTAAAAAAAAAAAAATATTTAAATAAAAATAATACCTTTATTTTTCATATTTATTATGATTTTTAAGTTCCAAATAACTGTAAAAAATTATTACCGTAATTAAACTATTGCGTTTCTTTAAATGATGTACAAAATATTTGTTATTAAACATTTAATTTTATTAAGTTTGACTAATGTGTGTCTAATTTAATTAGTTGATTATAGTATGATTGTATTCTAACAATAAAATAAAATATTATGGTTACCAAATCGTAGTCTGTAGCAACATTCTAAATGGTTAACGAATAATTTCTTAAATTATATAAGTTATCGATAATATTTAGTTCTTAAAGTTTGAAAACAAATTTACGTGTAGAATCAAAAAAGTTTATCAGTGCTGAGTCTTCTCATCACTCTGGCTGATCAAGACTATAAATCAGTCTAGACTATTGATCCGTCTATAATCAAAACTAAAGATCAGTCTATAATCAAGAATATAGATCAGTCTATAGTCAAGACTATAGATCAGTCTATAGTCAAGGCTATAAATCAGTATATAGTCAATACTATACAGTCTATAGTCAAGATTATAGATCAGTATATAGTCAAGACTATAGATCAGTCTATAGTCAAGACTAAAGATCAGTCATTAGTTAAGACTATAGGTCAGTCTATAGTCAAGATTATAGATCAGTCATTAGTCAAGACTATAGATCAGTCTATAGTCAATACTATAGATCAGTCTATAGTCAAGACTATAGATCAGTCTATAGTCAAGACTATAGATCAGTCTATAGTCAAGACTATAGATCAGTCTATAGTCAAGGCTATTCATCAGTCTATAGTCAAGACTATTGATCAGTCTATAGTCAAGACTATAGATCAGTCATTAGTCAAGACTATAGTCAATACTATAGATCAGTCTATAATCAAGATTATAGATCAGTCTATAGTCAAGATTATAGATCAGTCTATAGTCAAGACTATAGATCAGTCTATAGTCAAGACTATGGATCAGTCATTAGTCAAGTCTATAGTCAAGACTATAGATCAGTCTATAGTTAAGACTATAGATCAGTCTATAGTCAAGATTATAGATCAGTCTATAGTCAAGGCTATTGATCAGTCTATAGTCAAGACTATAGATCAGTCTGTAGTCAAGGCTATTGATCAGTCTACAGTCAAGACTATAGATCGGTCTATAGTCAAGATTATAGATCAGTCTATACTCAAGATTATAGATCAGTACATAGTCAAGATTATAGATCAGTCTATAGTCAAGATTATAGATCAATCAATAGTCAAAACTATCAAGACTACGGATAGTACTATATTTTGGCCAAAAGTTAAGTACTTGAGACTGTTGGTCTTTAATCAGAACTAGAGACTGATCAGTAATCATGACAATAGTATGATCGCTATTTAATAATATAAACTTATTAGTTTGATATACTGACAAGAGTGATTATATTATATACTGATAAATAGTAACGTCTATAGACTGATCTTAGACGAAACGGCTTTATACAGCTTTACACATTAATAACATTTTTATTCTCTCCTAGTTGTAGTGTAATAAATAGATTCATAAGATTAATAATATTTCAAAAAATTTTATAATTTTGAAAATCTGTTCTGAAAATCATTAAATATATTCTTATAAAGCCTTAAGTTACAATTTTGCCCATTAAATATATATCATTTTTGATCGATTTCACTAGAAAAATAAATGGATGCTCAACACGAAGTTCTGGAATTTTCGCAAGTGTTGCCTCGTCATCATCTAAAACGGAAAATAATAAAAATATGTTTATTATATTTTAGGAAAGATAGAAAACTTTAAGATCATAAATCGTTAGGAAGAAAAGTTTTAAAAACTAGTTCCGAAGTTTTAGAGATCTGGTTTAAAACACATCTAAAGGAACAGCCACGGTAATACTTTATATTATTTATCACAGTTCCTCTTACCTATAAAAGTTTCAACTCCAGCAGTTTGTTCATTAATACCAAATGAAGCCCTAAACATAATGTCTGAAACCCTTATATGAGGCCTGGTTTCACACAGGCGTTTAAACATGCTAGACATTCCCAACTAGAAGGGAGTAAAGAAAAGAAGTCTCTCAATTTCGAATAGTAAAGAAACTACAACTTAAAGCTTACCGCTATCAAACCATCTCTTACAGACATTTTCACATGAGTCTTAAATTTTGGTAAAATAAGTTTGAGACGATTCCGCCTTAAATATGAATTCATGCTGCCCAGAGGAAATGATTTTAAACGTTTCTCCAACTCTATTACACCCATAGGGTTGTGAGGTAGAAAAATCAATAAGAAAGTATTACCATCACTGTAGGGTACTTCAACAGCTGTAGCACTTAATTGAGGTACCTTTCCATAACGTATGTCTGCTATATGATTTAACATTTCCTTTTCAATTTTATCGCCATTATATGCCTGGAAATAGCCCTTGGTGGATGGTGAGAGACTATAGCGAAATACATTATTGAAATGCATTTTTGTTTCTAGCAGTATTTCTGTTTTATGACCACTATTTGCCAAATCGGCCGCTTTATAACAAATTCTATGAGTTCTCCAGACTTTGATGGTATCGCGTACACTCAATTTAATCGTGTCTACAACTATTTGACTTGTCAATATTGAGATATTATTTGACATTGTAAAGTATTTAGTTTTTTCCATTTTCCACAATAGATCCTCATAATTTTTTTTGAATGACTTCATTAGCTTTGCCAATTAAACCTAAATAATCACCGATTTCATAAGCACTATCAACTTCGGCATTGGCACGTAATAAAATTAAAAGAGTTGCTAAAGGTAAAGGTGTTATCAAATGATTACGTTGCGGTTCACTAGAGGCTAAGGCGTAAAATAATTCCTGACCAAAGTGTTCCATATCAACCATATCTGCCGCTGATAATTTTGGTGAAAACATTAGTAAATTAAAAATTACTATTGTTAAAAGTGGGTAAACTGGGAAAAATGAAAATTATATCATTAGTCAGCTTTAATTATTATAATATTTCATTACTACCTTTATATTTGCATTTCTTTGCCATTTTATTATTCGCAGAATATGAAATTTTTTAGTTGCTCTAACTACAGTCTTAATTCAAATGTTTCTCTAAGGTTTTGCCACTTGAAAGAATCTTTAACATTGTCAACAGCATATCAAAAGTGTGACTAAATAATTTATTTTATTTTATGAAACTTAAAAGCCAAGCCCTACAACAATCCTCATGTTTTTAGGTTTTTACTGACATTTGTAACGCATGAAAATATTGGTTCTACAAACTTCTTAAAGTAGTACTACCTACTACAGGGATACTGTACAAATTTAATGGTCAAAATCATTATACTTTATGGTAGATAAAGATTGATTTTGTCATCCCGTTTATAGCACATTAAAATGTTTATAGGACGAGCTGACCATGTCCATCCCTCTATGGAGAACTGAAGGAGCTAGATAGATATTATAATATCCTTCACCTTCTATAGAAGGGTATATATAAGTTTGTCATTCCGTTTGTAATTTCCACAATATAATTTTAAGACCCCATTAAAGTACAATATACATATATATTCTAGATCCTTATAGATAGCCGAGTCGATTATGCTACGTCCGACTGTCCGTATGTTGAATTTACTGAAGAAATCACTTTCTAAGTCGATTTGTGTCGAAGTAAACCTTGTGCGCACTCTACAGGTCGCAATTTTCAAGATAATTTGATGAAATTTGGCACATGCCCTTCTTTTGAACCAAGGACGAAGCGTATTGAAAAGTCAGCAAAACTGAATATCGTAATGATCGGGCCTTATTTGACCCTATCCCCCATACAAAGTCGCCTTCAGAAAATAACTTGATGGTCAAAATTCACTTACAAACACTAATACCGTGATGATATTCAGCATAAATAAAAAGCCTAACCTAATCCCTCTGCCAAAATTTATAAGATATTAACCCCTTGCCCCATATAACCCCACATTTAGAAAATCCCTTTTTTGTCAACAAAAATATTTATGAATTAAGGTAAAAATGAAATTAAGTTCTTCATTATTAAAAAAATAATCAACATTTTTAACGTAATCATTGGTGTAGGGTGTCATATGGTCGGCCATTCCAACTTGTTTTTATACAGAATATTTTGGTTTTGGCATTGAAGGTTGGCAGTAGCGATTGACGTAGTTAGTTAGTTAGTAGTTAGTTAGTTAGTTAGTTAGTTAGTTAGTTAGTTAGTTAGTTAGTTAGTTAGTTAGTTAGTAGTTAGTTAGTTAGTTAGTTAGTTAGTTAGTTAGTTAGTTAGTTAGTAGTTAGTTAGTTAGTTAGTTAGTTAGTTAGTTAGTTAGTTAGTAGTTAGTTAGTTAGTTAGTTAGTTAGTTAGTTAGTTAGTAGTTAGTTAGTTAGTTAGTTAGTTAGTAGTTAGTTAGTTAGTTAGTTAGTTAGTTAGTTAGTTAGTAGTTAGTTAGTTAGTTAGTTAGTTAGTTAGTTAGTTAGTTAGTTAGTAGTTAGTTAGTTAGTAGTTAGTTAGTTAGTTAGTTAGTTAGTTAGTTAGTTAGTTAGTTAGTTAGTTAGTTAGTTAGTTAGTTAGTTAGTTAGTAGTTAGTTAGTAGTTAGTTAGTTAGTTAGTTAGTTAGTTAGTTAGTTAGTTAGTTAGTTAGTAGTTAGTTAGTTAGTTAGTTAGTTAGTTAGTTAGTTAGTTAGTTTAGTTAGTAGTTAGTGTTAGTAGTAGTAGTTAGTTAGTTAGTTAGTTAGTTAGTTAGTTAGTTAGTTAGTTAGTTAGTTAGTTAGTTAGTTAGTTAGTTAGTTAGTTAGTTAGTTAGTTAGTTAGTTAGTAGTTAGTTAGTTAGTAGTTAGTTAGTAGTTTAGTTAGTTAGTTAGTAGTAGTTAGTTAGTTAGTTAGTTAGTTAGTTAGTAGTTAGTTAGTTAGTTAGTTAGTTAGTAGTTAGTAGTTAGTTAGTTAGTTAGTTAGTTAGTTAGTTAGTTAGTTAGTTAGTTAGTTAGTTAGTTAGTTAGTTAGTTAGTTAGTTAGTTAGTTAGTTAGTTAGTTAGTTAGTTAGTTAGTTAGTTAGTTAGTTAGTTTAGTAGTTAGTTAGTTAGTAGTTAGTTAGTAGTTAGTAGTTAGTTAGTTAGTTAGTTAGTTAGTTAGTTAGTTAGTTAGTTAGTTAGTTAGTTAGTTAGTTAGTTAGTTAGTTAGTTAGTTAGTTAGTTAGTTAGTTAGTTAGTTAGTTAGTTAGTTAGTTTAGTTAGTAGTTAGTTAGTTAGTTAGTTAGTAGTTAGTTAGTTAGTAGTTAGTTAGTTAGTTAGTTAGTTAGTTAGTTTAGTTAGTTAGTTAGTTAGTTAGTTATTAGTTAGTTAGTTAGTTAGTTAGTTAGTTAGTTAGTTAGTTAGTTAGTTAGTTAGTAGTAGTTAGTTAGTTAGTAGTTAGTTAGTAGTTAGTTAGTTAGTTAGTTAGTTAGTTAGTTAGTAGTTAGTTAGTTAGTTAGTTAGTTAGTTAGTTAGTTAGTTAGTTAGTTAGTTAGTTAGTTAGTTAGTTAGTAGTTAGTTAGTTAGTTAGTAGTTAGTTAGTTAGTTAGTTATAGTTAGTTAGTTAGTTAGTTAGTAGTTAGTTAGTTAGTAGTTAGTTAGTTAGTTAGTTAGTTAGTTAGTTAGTTAGTTAGTTAGTTAGTTAGTTAGTTAGTAGTAGTTAGTAGTTAGTTAGTTAGTTAGTAGTTAGTTAGTTAGTTAGTTAGTTAGTTAGTAGTAGTTAGTAGTAGTTAGTTAGTTAGTTAGTTAGTTAGTTAGTAGTTAGTTAGTTAGTTAGTTAGTTAGTTAGTTAGTAGTAGTAGTTAGTTAGTTAGTTAGTTAGTTAGTTAGTTAGTTAGTTAGTTAGTTAGTTAGTTAGTTAGTTAGTTAGTTAGTTAGTTAGTTAGTAGTTAGTTAGTTAGTTAGTTAGTTAGTTAGTAGTTAGTTAGTTAGGTAGTTAGTTAGTTAGTTAGTTAGTTAGTTAGTTAGTTAGTTAGTTAGTTCCAATACCGAACAATCATTTTTAATCAACCCTGACGGCGGTCATACCTTAATAGTCTTACAATCTAATAAAACCTTGAATATGCATTTGTTGGACCCACGTTTCCTACAATTGTTTTTTAACATTTGAAATTTTCCTCATTTTTAAAAGTATTAGAAATAACAATTTTTTAAATACTTTTACTGGAGTATAATTTATGCAGTTATGTATATACATATGCACATATGTATTTAAGAATATTTTTTCCTTAAAAAATTACAATTTATATAAATTTAAATTCAGTATTTTTATGTGCAAGTATGCGTTTTGTAAATTTATACGTGTGTAAGTACGTGTCTTAACCATGTAAAAAAATAAGGCAAACATTTTCGTACATCCTCATATTCTATTCACATTTTCAACAGACTTACACATGAATTGCTACCGAAAAAATATATTTATGTAAATGCATACAACTTAAAACTAAAATGTAAAAAAAAAAATCGAAATACAAATTTTATTCTATTCCATACAGCCGTGGGTATAATGAATATGATGCGAATGTTCAAGCATGTTATATATTTTACAACATTTTAAATTTTTTTTTATTATTATCTAACAATTATTTGTTAGTTGATTTGTTTTTTTATCTCTCTGTATAGAATTTTTATTGTTGTAAAACGGAATAAAAATTTAATAAACACTAATGGCATTATTTGTTGGAGTTAGTTTTGGGCAAAAGTTGATTTAACATAACGATCATTTATGATGGTGAATTTCAGATAAAGGTGTGAAATTCATAAGGAATCGATATTTTAGAATTACTACAATGTATTTCTATTTAAATAATCAATAAACTCGTTTTCCATATAAAAAAATACTTTACTTCTTTAAGTTAGAAGATTTAAGCATTTTCGCTGAATATTTCATTCAAATCTAAGATAGACTATAATGAATATAGTCTCTCGATATGTTTTCTAAAAACCTTGAGGAATTTAACAGTTCTGGCAAAAACATATGCATACACCTGCATCGATTGTTTTACAATTTTGTTAATTTTTTCTTTATGCAAAACTTTTTTTTTTCTTAAAATTTGTTTAGTCTTTTGTTTCATTTAAAACACATGTTAAAGTATTTATTTTCGACAAACTTTTTACAAACATATTTAAACAAAATACCTGCAAGTATATCAAAGATGCAATTATCTAAACAAAATAACCCAGCAAATCCAGCAAAAGTAATCAGTTAAAAAGCCTTTATGACGGTTACAAATAAGGAGTTAAATAAGTCATTACTACGCTCACTTGCAAATAAGTAGCTTAGCAAAAAATAGCAGTGGATATGAAGTAGACTTTAAGAAGTTGTTGAGTAAATACAATTTATTATCAAGTTTTTACTGGGATTAATGCAAAAAATATACATTCATATATTTGGATTCTCTCGTTGCAACTGAAATAAAAATCCTTAACAATTCAGGGGCAAACCAGTACTTTTATAGAAATAAACTATAAACTTCTTTATTACAATCCGGCTGGATAATAAAGGTTTCATGTTCAAAACTTAAAGTATAAATATCTTATAATCATGTTGTAGTTGTTGGAAGCAGAGAAAAGTAGTGTCGAATTGCTGTAAATATTATATAAACTATGAAATAACATGTTACATATACCATGATAATCGCCATTTTACAGTGGTTAAGAAATGATTTATTTCAGAAATAATTCGGCAAGTGGAACCTCCGTAATCTTATGTGATAACAATAAAGAAAGTAGAATGAGAAAACTCCTCTCTCACTAAGGTTATTACGTGGTAAGATGTATGGTATGTATACTGACTAAACATACAGGACTAGAAGCATAACATCACCAAATTGGAAGAATATGCCGAGTGTAGAGCACAAGTGGTAATGAAACACTTTGTCAGCCATTGCCAAGCCTTTGTTAAAAGTTGAACCAAAAAAAACGTTAAAGGGAAAATTTTAGGAATTGCTTTATTTTAATTTCCCCCCAAAATAAAACCTTTAACCACTGTGCATCCTAACTTCATGTTCATGAAACACGTTATTATGCGTGACTTTTTGCAATTTTATATTATTAGTTCTAAAAGTAGTAAATATGAATAGTATAGGAGTAAGATGAGCATAAACATTTAAAAAATATTTATTT